GAGAAAGTGGAAGGGAGGAGGGATGTCTTGTTTCTGAAGGGGGTAGGAGGCCCCTCAAACAAGAAACTCAAAGTACTGGAAGTACTGGCAGAAGTCATTCCCATGAGTTTAGTCCCAGGAATATAGATGCAGTGCAGCAAGAAGTATAACTATCACACACAAGTTGTCAAGGTCAGTAAGTTAATCTTCAAATTTTATATGGTAGCAACCACAACTTGCTACACTTCCGGTATTCACTAACCAATAATCTCTATAAACGAGTAAATAATCCCTTAATTTATCCAGTGCCACAACAACGCCACCCGAAGGCTGGAGGAACAGCACCTCATATTCCGCTTGGGAACCCTGCAGCCCAATAGTCTCAAGGTGAACTTTACAAACTTCAAAATCTCCCCACCCCCGACCTCATCCCAAGACCAGCCCATCTTGTCCCTGCTTCCTTGACCTGTCCGTCTTCCCTCCCACCTACCCGCCCCTCCCTCCTCACTGACCAACCCCCATCCCAACTCCCTACCTACACTCACCTTTACTGGCTTCATCACCACCTCCTTGACCTGTCCGTCTTCTCTCCACCTATCTGCTCCTCTATCCACCTTCTGTCATCGCCTCCCCCTCTCTCTATTTATTTTAGAGGCCCATTCCCCTTCTCCATTTGTAAGGAAGGGTCCAGACCCGAAACGTCAGCTTTCCTGCTCCTCTGATGCTGCCTGGCCTGCTGTGTTAATCCAGTTCTACACCTTATTATCCTTAATTTATATGTTTTTATTTACCATCACACATTTGGCATTATTGTAATTCTCATACACACAGCTCTCAGGTTTCATACACCAACAGCTACTCATCTATAACAAGCACATCTTCAATACATATTTCAGAATACTCACTGATACACTTCCCTCTTGCTTGCAGAAGCTCACATGTGCAAAGCAAGGAACTGGAGAAAAACCAGTACACCAGCAAGCTTTAAGTCCTCTGTTTGAGATAGCACTGCCAATATGGGAAAGGCATAAGTGGCACAGCTGCAGGAATCAATGAGGGGACTATCCACAAAACTAATTGTCTTTCTTTTTAAATCACTTCTCCCTCGTCCCAGAATCTCCTTTCACTGAGAAGCTGCAGATAGGGCAAGTGTGCACTTCTTTCTCCCCTGCATACTAATTCAATTTTATTTCTTAATCATTTCAGAAAGCTAAAAATCACAAACTGAAATATTCTCAAACACTGGGAGCAAATAAAGAAACATTGTCACATGATATTACGTTTGCTTATAGATTTCAAATACTGAAACAATGCATTTTCAATGTTAGGAAAGAGTGAAGGTCTGCTCATAGTGAGATATCTGGCTCAAATGCATGTGAGCCAAGCTGGGGGTAGGAAAGATTGGTACAGGTATTAGCTCACATGATGCCTGAAGGCACATACTATTTTGGCCATAGAAGTCTCAGATGAAGACTTTGATAAGCTAGCACACAGCAGAAGGCCAGACTGAGTTCATAACCAGAGATAATACAGTGTGGAGTTGAAGGAGCACATAAGGCCAGGCAGGATTAGAGGAGCAGGAAAGTTGACATTTTGGGTTACAACCCTTATGGGTCCCGACCGGAAACTACAACTTTCCTGCTCCTCTGATGCTGCCTGGCCTGCTGTGCTCCTCCAGCTCCACACTGTGTTATCTCTGACTCCAGCATCTGCAGTTCTTTCTATCTCTGAGTGAGTTCAGAACCAAATGCTTGATGCACTGAAATTTCTGCCCATCCTCAATGTCAATGACATAGCATAGTCCAGCACCAACTTGACACAGGCCTGGGTGTGATGTTGAGAGCCCATCCTTTCCAATATGCAAAACATAGTCTCAGCCATCAATAAACATGTGGAACTCAACATATATTCTGTTATAATCAAATCTTTTAATGTTATCCCAAACATTTATGGTCCTAAGGAAAATAAGGTTTGTGCATAATCATTTGTTGCTTTAACTGTCTGTTGGATTATTCAATACCACGTATCCAAGCCCATGTGAGGTAACACATGCGTTGCCATATTAAATAAAGTATCCTGCCAGAAGCAAACTCCTATACATCATCATACCAGCAGCAGCCGTTTATAAAAGACTCCATTATCTTGCTGACAGATATTTGGAAAACTAATTGAAGACCAACTAACAGTTTTGGACAGCAAAGTATTTAGGCAAAGGACAGTTTTTACCCTTCAGCAGCATCAGTTTTTGTGAACCCAGACAACCATACAGATCTGTAGATAGTGACTGACCTAATTTTTTTAAAAAATAGAATATAAGTCCTTTTAAGATACAAGAAATTTCTAACAATAGTTTATTTAAAAATAAAAAGGCTGAAGTCACAAATATAACCAAAATGAAGGATATAGACTTGCAATGAAGCATAGAGCACACTTGTCCTCCGTCCTTTTTTTAAAAGAAGCAAGCACAAGAAGCTGCTGATCTGTTTTAGTAAAAAAAAATGAGGCTGTCTTAAATGGTCCTCAAAATCACAGCTCCAAAACACTCCAAAAAGAAAACATAGCTTAAAAACACTAACAATTAGTTTTCTACATTATGAAGGTGACATTAATAATTGTGCAGTGATATTGAGTGACAGCAAACAGCATTAAGATAAACAAGTCATCAAACAAGTACAACAGAGAACACATACCTCTCCAGGCAGCTATAAGATCACTAGATAGGCACAAGTTGTCTAGCCTCCAAATTGTAATATTCAAGTTTGGAATGTTAATCTTGTAATCTCTGCTTTAGCTTTTTGTATAATTATCAAATTGACAACATATGCTTAAGTACAACCATGTATCTGGATAACTTCTTTATCTTTAGGAAGAGGGAACATTCTTGCATCACGACACATGAATTGAAAGTATACAGGTCTCATACTCCACCCTACTATCTGTTTTCATATTACTTGTTAGATTGCTGTCATAGCTTGGTTTCTCCAAGTTTTTTTGTAATCTTTGTTAACTTAAAATTTTCCCACTCCTCTGGTTTACCACTATTCTTTGCCACATTGTATGTTTTGTCTTGCACATTCTTGTGCTGTTTTATTTTTGTATTGGGAACTGGACAATCTGAAGGCCAGTCTTAGAGAAAGGTAAGGATTATTGCAATGTTAGTGAATAGGGAATTATGGTTGAGGTCAATAGTATTGCTTACTAATTATTTCATCACAGAGAACCCAGGGTGAGAGAGGATTGACTACATTGTCGCCTCTCTTCTTCTATCTATTCCTCCAGTTCATGTTGCAATTACTTGTCTCCCTCAGCTGCTCCTCAGATTCTAATTGCATTTAATGATCCAGTGACAACATAGTTCTCTTGGTAGGCATGCTGTGCACTTGTGCAAACCTGTCATCAATAGAAAACCCTCGGCATCTAGTACCCAGCTTTCGATGTCATTGTCAGAACTCTGAAGGATCTACACTTGGATCACTAAAAGTCAATGATACAAGCTACAACAGTTAAATTGATTGTATGTAATGGGTTACTCATTCCTTTTGTTGATATATTGATGACAACATACAGCTTTAGCAAATATGCATAAGTATTGTACCAAGTAGACACAAACAGACCAGCAATAGCAGCGCTACCAGTGTGTACAAATCTTAACAATGTGACATTCACAAAGTCGTTATGATACCAATGTGAGATCTGGACTAACAACAAATATATACCCAGACAGATTCAATGCCATAGCAATTTTATAGATGTTGCTGTGTTGCATCTCAGAGAAGATATAATTAATATAATTGTCCCTCCCAGAAAGTGTAGTGTTCACATTCAAGAGAAACTTAAATGCCGGCTGGACAATATGGAATACAATCGTATTATCTCCCAGGTACATCAGCACACCACATTGTTACAGCCAACGTATATACTAGAGGAAGATGGCACAATTGGGGTATGCTTGTTCCCAAGATGTCCAAACCTTTTTCTAAAGACAGGCCCACACAAAGTTTCAACATTAGAGAAACTGAATCCCAAATAATCCCAAAGCATAGATATTGATCAGTTTACTTTGCAAAGGAATCTTAGAAATTAGGACTTTCAGAACACCATTTGTAGGATATTACTCCCAGTGATATCTTTTGGCATTGTCAGGCAGGATCCATTCCATCAGTTTTTGGACAGAATTACAGAAAATATTCCTGGACGTATATGTATTACTGATGATATGGGAATAACCAAGGAAGAGGACAAGAAAAATCTACACTCACTAATAGCAGCAGCTCATTCTGAAAGGCACTTCTTCCACAGAAAGAAGTGTCAGGTGAATGAAGGTCAGATCAATCCTTTTGCTTTATCTAATGGGGATATGGGATCCTTCTAGACTCAGGTAAGTCAAAGATGTATAATACATGACTTTTCCCCATGACAAAAATGACATGCAGGAATGATCAACATTTTTTAAACTACTTGGCACCACACATACCAAATTTTTCCAAAATAGCATCATGGTCAAGGGAATCTATAAGGCAGGAGAACCATTAATACATGTGTAAATCACTCAAACAAGTATTGTCAGCAGAAACTTGTACAACATTATGACCTAAGGAAGAAGGCCCTGGAAGTCAATGCATCTCAGAAAGGGCTATAAATGTGCAATACGCAATATGAAAAGCAAATTACATTTGGATCCAAAAGTCTATTGCAAGTGAAGTTCAATTATCCCACCACAGGGTGTGAAACTTGCTCTGATGTTTGATATCACAAGATAACAGTAAGCAAATCACTGCAGAAACTGATCACAAACTACTGGACATGATTTGTGACAAATCAATTGATTAGAACAGCTAAAAATACATTGTGATATCTTTATTTGAAAGCTGCTGTGATACATATGTGTCACTGGAGAGCTCTCACTAGTATATCTTACTTGGTCAACTAACATATTCTAACACCGTATCACATGTCAGATGATATTGCATCCTGTCTGATGATGCACATAGCTTATAAACAATACCCACTTAAAGACATACCATAGCTTGTGTTGGGGTTCCTCGTACTGTCCAACAATATTCAGCTCTGCTTGCTTAAGAGAGGGAGTAGGCTGGTGTTTGATGAACAGAAATTATCACATTAGCATCAAATCAGAACTGCACACTTATATCATTGACTGCATGCTGCCACTGGTTATTAGCTGTGTGTGAGCAAATGCTTACAGCAAGGTGGCATCCTGTCAACTGTGTGTGCACAGACCACAGACACTATTTGACTGTTAGAAAGTTGTGCAGTGCCTAAGGCAAGTGCTGCAGAGTCCAATTTTTCTCCTATCAGCTGAAACAGAAACAAGAAATACAGACCGCAAGTTAATGTGTGTTAAGCTGTGATATGAGAAACGTTGTTATTTTCCTGAATTGAAAACATACAAACAAGACACCTAAGAAGACTATTTAGCCCCTAGAGTCTGCTCTGCTATTTAATAAGATCACAGTTATCAAATTTGTAACCACAAATCCACATTTCCATCTACCCCGATAACCTTCATATTCTTGATATCAAGAATTTATCCAGCTTTGCCTGTTTTGGGAGGTTAGAGTCCATAACCTTGGGAATACATGAACTAAATGTCAGAATTACATAAATTCACAGTTTGTGTACTACACATTCCAACTGCAGGAAGCTCTAAATTCAGAGCCAATTTATTGTGTAAAAAAGGATTCAGGCGTGGTGCTGATAACGTTTACAACTGTGAGCAGGGAAATGAAAGGCCCAAAGACGCCAATTTTCTGTTTCTTACCATCTGCAGGAATAATCCCTGTATACTTCATAATGCTATAAAATTGTTCCAAATCACAAAACATTTCTTGGTTTATAGCTTTTGTCAGATGATCCACAAGATTGTAAGCAATTGTAATTCTGTATTTACAATCTCAGTTGTTCAAGAGGTAACAGAAAAATGACAGAAGTAAAATTTAATTAGCTGCCCAACATATATGTTGATTGTCCATCATCACCAGAAATTACTGCTGAATTCAAATGTTATCCTCTATTTTGCAACTGGCACTGTAATGAATTCTGTGACCACTTTTGTACACCAAGGAAGAGGTGCTTTTCTATGATTCTATTACCCTTGGTGACACATGATCATATTGACAAGTTCCAACATTATGCTTATGTTACGCTGTCATGGGTAACAAATGACAACCAAGAGCCCAACTTGCCAATGTTTTGCAGAGATTAGAATAGATGAAAAGCACCATACCACTCAATGGATAATACTCATTTGATGTTGGTGCTGAGACACAGTAAAAGGAGTATTAATCTTCACTTAATCATGCTGCACATGTCGTGTCATATCCAGTACTTAAACAGAGTCATTGTTGTAGCTTAACCAAGTGAAGTAATTGGGAAAAGATGGAAAACCTTGCCCCAGCAATATTATTATCACTTTGAAAAGAAAATTCATAAACACAGAAACACCAAGCAGAAATCCTCACCCAAGGTGAAGGATCAAAGATAGCCTTGACACCAATATTCATTCTTACAATGTTTGAGGAAGCAAAAACACAATAAAATCCACTGAAGGAGAAGTTGGACTCCAAATGACATACAATTAACTACTATCATGATGTATTCATTATCGGAGCAGCCTTTCTCCCCCAGCACTAGCCCCCCCACCCCCAATCCTGTCCCCTCCACACTTCATGTCAGCTCTGATGAAGAGTCATCCAGACTCGAAACATCTGCTTGCTTTCTCTCCATGGATGCTGCCTGACATGCTATGATTTTCAGCATTTTTTTGTTTTCATGCTCATTATAGACTAGTTTAATGCCATGAACAGAGTAGGAACCGAAATCAAACTTCACCACCCCTAACACTTAATTTTCTTCTTTTCACTCTTCATTTTTCCAGAAAGCAGTGCTTTTTGCTCACGGTGGTTTGGGGGGTGGGGAATAGGGTAGATGGGTGCAACCCCTCTATTTAGCTGAGTCACAATACTGTATTTATAGTTGAATATCCTTTAGATACAATCACAACTATCAACAGTTATTACCTCAATCATCTACATTTTCACTTATATAATAATAATCTCCAGATAACCTCCAGATGCAATTTTTCCGAAACTTTTCTTGCTTGCTTATCATGTGCCACAAATTTCAACATGTCCATACTCAGCTGACAATATCTTGTTCTATGTTGAGCCCTATGACTGTGAAACTGCATTTTCACTGACCTGTTAGATCCTATCATGCAATATATTAAAGTTAAAGCCTTTGCCTCAGTGCTTCTCTAGAGCCTCAGCCCAGGTATTTCTGAAACCTGGTCATATCCCCTTCACGTACTCCTTGATGTTTGGGGCATTCCACTCACATGATTCCTTTTCCCTGCCATTAATGACAGAAACTTGGCCCCCTATTTTGGGAGTACTTTCCAATAGGTTTTGCCTTTTCATCAATAGCCATATTTTGACCAGTTTTTAAAAATTCACTTGCAGGCATCTCTGGCTGGTCAGCATCTAACGCCCATCCCTACTTGCTCTTGAGGAGGTGGTGCTGAGCTGCCTTCTTGAACTTTGGCATTCCATGTGCTGTAGGTTGACCCATAATACTCTTAGGGAGGGAATTCCAGGATTTTGACCCAGCGACACTGAAGGAATGGTTATATATTTCCAAGTCAAGATGGTGAGTTGCCCTGAGAGGATCTTGCAGGTGGTGGTGTTCCCATGTATGTGCTGCCCTTTGTCACTCTAGATAGAAGTGGTTGGGGGGTTTGGAAGGTTCTCCTAATGTTTCAACAACATGGGATTAATTTTAAGGGTAAAAATAGCAGCGTAAGGTAATTGACCAAACCTTAAACAATCCTTTCTGAATCACTGACATAATGGCCACATGCCTTCCACCAATCAGAGTCCTCAGACAGCAACCTTGACTGCAATGTGTCTTGTTGCTTGGACACTAAAATGCACAATCTCAAGCTTGACTGGTTCATCCACATGTCTCCTTGTTGGTGCTGCGATAATCACATGTGCCCCACTGTAACTGTGTTTTCTCACATCCGAAGAGCAGCCATTAATTATCCTTGAATAATGAGAATCTATTCTTTATTTTGATCTTGCCCATTTTCTAGAATGCCATGTAACATTTTCAACCTCAGGACACTATACAATTAGACTTTGTTGTTCATAGCCATTAAGAACAGGATGTCCCACTGAATTTATCTCCCTATCAAAAGGGGTACAAAGTGCTAATATTGGCTCAAACAGAAATTCAATTCAATTCCTGGATTTCCTGGGTTGCATAATTCTGCATCCCACAGAATAAATTAACAATTAATAAGTTCAATATCCCACGGTTGAGTAACTAGTTTCAAAAATATTATGCCCAGTATCCCAGATAGAACATAACAACACAATATTCCAATGACTCACAAAAATAGGAATGAACTTGTAGAAATTTCTTCAATTGTGTTTTTCAGAAAACCACAAACCAACAATTACTTGAAGCAATCCTAATCTCTAACAATTTTCCTATGTAGATTTTATTTCTGCTGTCTGTTTAGCTGTCAGTAGGCTGATCACTTTTTTTTATTCATTCATTCACAGGATGAGGGCGTCACTGGTGAGGCAGCATTTATTGCCCATCCCTAATTGCCCAAGGGCAGTTAAGGGTCAACCACATTGCTGTGGGTCTGGAGTCACATGTGGGCCAGACCATGTAAGGATGGCAGTTTCTTTCCCTAAAGGGCATTAGTGAACCAGATGGGTTTTTCTGACAATGAACAATGGATTCGTGATCATCATTAGATTCTTAATTCTAGATATTGATTGAATTCAAATTTCACCATCTGCCATGGCGGGATTCGAACCTGAGTCCCCAGAACATTGTCTGGGTCTCTGGATTAATAGCCCAATGATAATACCACTAGGCCATTGCCTCCCCGTTAAATTGATGCAAATATCTTGTAGGAATATAAATCTCTCATCGGCAGTTCAACAAATATTTCTGGCTTATGAAAATATTTAAGCAGAATAGAACTTTAACAATTTCAGATAACTATTTGCAGCAAATAAATATATTAAGGTTTAAAGATCAATGGTAGGCAAGTTATTGGAGAGAATACTGACGGACAGGATCAACCAACATTTGGATAGTCAAGGTCTGATTAGGGATAGTCAGTTTGGGTTTGTGCACGGGAAATCATGTCTGACAAATCTTTTAGAGTTTTTCAAAGAGGTAACCAAGAGGATAGATGAGGGTAAGACAGTGGATGTTGTCTATGTGGACTTTTGTAAGGCCTTTGACGAGGTCCTGCACGGCAGGCTGGTCATGAAGGTTTAAGTCACATGCGATCCAGGGAGAGCTAGCTAACTGGATTCAAAACTGGCTCGATGCTAGGAAACAGAGGATGATGGTTGAAGGTTGTTTCTTGGACTGGAGGCCTGTGACTAGTGGTGTGCCACAGGGATCAATGCTGGGACCTTTGTTATTTGTCATTTACATAAGTGATCTGGATGTGAATGTACAAGGCATGATGAGTAAGTTTGCGGATGATACAAAATTAGGAGGTATTGTTGATAGTGAAGAAGATTATCAAAAATTACAGAGGGATTTTGATCAGATGGGGAAGTGGGCTGAAGATTGGCAAATGCAATTCAATACAGATAAGTGTGAGGTGTTGCACTTTGGAAAGTCAAACCAAGGTAGGAATTATGCAGTAAATGATAAGGTCCTGAGGAGTGTTGTGGAACAGAGGGACCTAGGAAAGTTCATTGAAAGTGGCATCACAGGTGGACAGGGTGGTGAAGAAGGCATTTAGCATACTGGCTTTCATCGGTTGAGGCATTGAGTATAGGAGTTGGGATGTTATGTTACAGTTGTGTAAGTCAGTGGTGAGGCTACACTTGGAGTATTCTGTACAGTTTTGGTCACCCTGTTATAGGAAAGCCCTGGTTAAACTGGAAAGTGTGCAAAGAAGATTTACAAGGATGTTGCCAGGAGTAGTAGGCCTGAGTTATAGGGAGAGGTTGGTCAGAATAGGACTTTAATCCTTGGAACATAGGAGATTGAGGGGTGACCTTATTGAGGTGTATAAAATCATGAGGGGCATAGATAGGATGAATGTAGATAGTCTTTTTCGCAGGGATGGGGAATTGAAAACTCGAGCACATAGGTTTAATGTGAGAGGGGGAAGATTTAAGATGGGCCTGAGAG